AAAGCTGCCTGTCGGAAAAGGACCTGGGGGTGTTGGTCGACAGCCGGCTGAACATGAGCCGGCAGTGTGCGCAGGTGGCCAAGAAGGCCAATGGCATCCTGGCCTGTATCAGATATCTCCCCATAACAGTATCTGGGGCTGACCAGGTCGTCCTACACATGCTGTCTAGCTTCTGCTGAGCTGAATCCCACGGTAATAGTCCAGCAGGAGAGGTCTGAGAGTCCCAGACTCACACCTTCTGCTCTCCCACCTTCTTCAGGGCATGCCTGAATGCTGGTATGTCATATCCAGCCTGGCTGCACCCTTATCTCCATTGCAGAGAGCAACCAGCAACAGGCAAACACAAGTGGACAGACCAGGGTGCTTTGAGCAAAACCCCCATGTTTTGCAGCTCAGACCTAAATCTGTTCCTCTGCCCATTTCCCACAGGCGCGCACACACACACTTCCATGCCACGTGAAATTAAAGGCAGCAAAATCCTCCCTGAAAGAGGCAGGTAGTGTCCCAACTAACCCAGAGCAGGAGGAGGGGGATGCCATTCCCAGGCCGGCTCTTGGGGAGAGATCTTGGAATCGCAGTGGACACAAAACACCAGGTCACGCTCTGTGGCCATGACCTCAACCTTCTGGCTCCAAATCACTAAATGCAACCTAATAGCAGCTACTTCTGCCCCTAAGCAGCAGTAACATTAAACATTGGACCCCTGGCTTTCCCACGCGCTGCTGTCTGCCTGCTGTTTCTCCCAACCTTCAAGACATTGCATTTGATGAACGCTCCCAGGAAAAGGGTTCAAGTCCCAGCCTTGCTAATGTTGATTACACTGGAGTCATCTCATCTACCCGCCAGTTGCCTGCTCTGCTGTGAACTTTTTGCAGTTTTAGTTGTACAAGCTCTAGGCTGTGGTCCATAGCCTCTGTGAGCACTGCTGTAAATCAGGTAGCAACAGTGGCCGGTGCTCAGGACAGGTTACGTAGCCCAATCGAGGAAGAGAAGCACCTACCACAGTGCAGGCAAGAGCCCCTACTCCCTCCAGAAAGGCCTGGGCAGCTCAACACTTCAGTGTTGGGGATTTAACATCCCAACAGCACAAACCAGCAGGGTTTCCATTGCATCGCTAATGTTCCTGGTGCATGGGACTATTCTGGCCAAGCTGTCTTTTCTGTCCAAGGGCAGTTGCACAGGTAGGATCCTTATTCCTCATGTTACAATAGCTCCCAACATGATCCCATGGCCAGACTCCACCCAGACACTTAGGGAGCCCCCAAAATTCTTCTGCAAGAGGACAGAGACTGGTGAAGGCAGCATTGCTGCGCCACTCCATGGTCAGGCAACTCTGGGCAAGAAAAGTACTTCACCCAGACAGGGCACTGGTACCCAAACTGAGCCCTCAAGCCTTGAACCTCCCACCCAGGACAACCACAATGACACCAGCAGGTCAACATCTTACCACTGAGCTTGTTGCGTTGTTAAACCTCTGGATTTTGTAGAGGTTTTGTAACAGAAATGTCTAGAAACCTCAATGGGAGGAACAGGAGAAGGGAGTTGTTTATTTACCAGGTTTTAATTTCAAGAAGTATTTTCTACAGTATGATCCTTTTGAAGAAATCTGACTGGCAGCCTAAGGCAATGACCCCCAAGTGGGAGCGAAGCCTTTGCTGGCTGATGGGGGTTCCCCATGGGAAACGGCTCCCATCACCATGGTGGGGGTAGGCTGGGCTGTATACTGCAGTGAATGGCTCAGATGGGTCCAGAAACACCTACACTGGAGTCCTTGGACCCACCTCTGCCAACACAGCCAGATCTGGCAGGCAGCAGGAGAGAGCTGCATGAGCGGATAAACCAGACTGAGCCCGTAGAGTATCCCAAGTACCAGGAGCTCATTTTCTCCCTGAGTACACCCAGAACAAAACCTACCCATCTTTGGAAGAGGTTGGATCCAAATCCATCTATTCTGCTCAATTGCTGATGAATTATCAGGAGGCTGCTTGGCACACTGTCCTTCAGCAAGGTGGGTAAGGATACCCTGTAAGAAGCTCTAAGTCCTGAGCATACCTGAGGTCCCATGGGAGGGGCTGTCCTAAAGTTGGTCCGACCTCCCAACCATAGAACTAGTCTTGAGGCAATCTGGATGCAAGCAACGAAAGTGAGTCTTCTCAACTGTCGGGCAAACGTTGCTCCTCCTTTTTCTCAGCATCACACTGCACACCTCGCTTTACAGACAGAGTGAGGGCCCAGGGTCCCAAATGCTGCATGGGTAACTGGACACCCCCTTGCCTGTCTGTCACCAAGCCCATCAGTTTCAGTTGAGCGTTAACCAAAGACAGACGTATCCTGGTGTGGGCCTCCTGCCTGTCCTACACACTAAGTAGTGCAGCTTGGTAGGACACTCCAAGGAAAGGGTTTTACAAGTGGCTGGGCTTGTTGGAACTCAACAAGTAAAACAGGCTTTCATTTTTCAGGTGCTTAGGGAAAAGAGAGTGGTGCAGAGAGGGGACTTGGACTCCATTGATCTAGAGAGATCTCTAGAGCATCCATCCATAGGTACCAACTCACTCTAGTGGATGGCATGGCTGAATTATGAAATACCCTTTGAGTTAAAGGATGCAGTTGGCCCTGGAAGACAAGCAGAAAAACTTATCTCTGAATAGCACCATCCGTGTCGGAAGCAGCTCCTAAACCAATGACTCTTTTACAACCAGAGGTTGAGCTCCATGCTGAGTCCGTCTCTTCCACCGCAGGTCTTTCTACCCTGGGTGGGAGACGCAGTGCTGAGAAACCTGTGCAGTGAGTCTAGAGGACATTGCCAGCACGTTCATGATAGAAGAGCTGAGGAAAGACCAGGGAAAGCCAGGCCCCATGGGGTGCTCACTGGGGTCTCATTGAGCTCTATCAAACATTGCAAAGAAGCCCCATGGGAGATTTCCATCATCCTCCAGAGCTCACCCATCATCTCCTTCCTGGCAGCCTCCATGCCAAGGTCTGAAACCTGGACCTGCAACATTGCTGACACAAGCGATCTGCATGGCATGTTCCCCCACCAGATCCTCACGGTGTAGGAACCTGATACAGGGCAGTTGCTGACAGCAAGGTGTTGTCATCATCCTCCCGCGACATCTCTGGGACCACTTCTGGCCAGATGGGCCAGAATGTCAGATTGATAGACCCTGTTTGAGACTCAGTAATCAAAAGCCTGTTCACTCTGCTGCATTTTTAAAATGAAAAATGGAGTGCAGAACAATACAAAAATATCTGTCATTCAGATTTCTTTTATTCTGCATCAAAGCAAAGTAGGGGATTTTTTGAGATTTCATTTTTGACACAAAAAATTATGGGGAGCATTTTTCTATTGCAGAGATCTTTTTTCCCCTTTCATAATAATTATTTTCCTTCCTTTCCTCCTCCCTTGCTAGTGGAGAAAAGGGAGGGGGGGTGGTTTTGCTTTTTTTAAGGAGGAAAAGAAGAAAACACAAAGAAACTAAAAGACAGATATAAAGGCAATCTCCAGCAGAAACTGGTCAAAAGAGTTGCTTTTTCTTTTGAGATTTTTGCATAGAAACGCTTCCCTTTCTGCAGCAGACCCCGAACCCTGGAGCATCTCTGGCTGCTGCTGAGACTGTCTCCAAAAGCAGGGGACTGGCTGACATGCTCTGGACTGCACTAGCCCTTTATTTTTGCACAATAATGTGTTTTTCCCACCGAGTAGCAAGTCAGAGGCTTCAGAGTTTAGCAGAGGGCTCCCTGGAGGTCCCACAGGAGAGAGGAGTGCTGTGGCAGAGCAGTTTTCGTCTCCTCCACTGGGGTCTCATGCTCTGTCACTGAAATCACCAGAAGTCACCAGTGACTGTGGGACCTGCAGAGGTTCAATCTCCTGCTGCTCTGTCACCAGCCATGTGTCTCATTACACTTTGTGTCACTTCAGGTAATCAGCCAGGGAGTGTGTCCCTTGGACACCGCAAGTGCAATAGAAGTTTGGCAAAAGTTTTGTAATTATAGGCAATAAATTCCACCCCACCCCCCCGGGGTAGCTGTGGTGATTAGCAAATTTCACCCTTTTTTTTTTTTCTTAAAATGTGTACTTCTATCCCGAGAAATTCAAAGCCAGAATCCAAATCAGTGTGAAACTGCAACTGAGTCATCATGGAGCTGCGGGAACCTGGCTATGTGTTGTCATCTGGTTTTTTACACAGCTTATCTTAGAGCAGACAAAGTCTGCAAGGTCCAACAGACAAAGGCAAAGCTTGACCAACGCATGCTGGAGATGCACAGCAACTTGTTAATGAAGGGGGGGAATTAACCGTGGCAAGAAGGAAGCAGCACTTTCATTACTGTCCCTTCAGCCTTTGAGGATACTGCTGTACAGTATGAGATGTACCATGCTGTACCACGAGATGGTCCTGTCCAGCCAACAGTTACGGCTTCAAGGGAGAGCTCATGGCAAGGGCAGGTGACCAAAAAAACCTGAGTTAGTTAGAGCAGCTTAGTAAGCTATTCACCATCAGCTGAGCCGTGTGTACTTTTCACCTACAACTGTGTGGTTTCACTTAAGCCTTAATCGACATCATTCACACTAAAGCATTTTGGTGGCTGAGATCCCCAAAAACAGGGGGTTACCACAGCCCAACTGATGAAAGAAAGGATGCTAAATTGTAGTAACTCCATCATGTGTCCAAGACCAGCATGTTGCGCTTAATGCAGCGATGACTGCTTTGAGGTATCCTACCAACCTTGTATAGAAGATGTTGGTATCAACGCATCTCGCTCCCAGTGAAACGCATGAGAGTTTAGCACCTATAGCCTAGCAAAGATCTACCCTGCACAACTCTGTGTCCTAACCTCAGGGCTGCCTCTCTGTGCAGGAGCACTCCAGCATGTCCAGATGTTCATCAAAAGTCACCTTTTGACCCTAGGATCGTGGACTGAGACACATAAAAGAAAAAATCACAGACTGTTTGCAGGTGATTTATCAGCTAGAGCAACGGGGCCATATTCATTTCATAAACCCACTCCAGCGAAGCAATTGATCCACTCCATTTACAGGAAATGCTTCAAGGAGAACCAAAGGACTCTTGATAACAGCGACTTCATCATGCCACTTGATGACAGGATGTCCAGGTGTCACGCAGAGGCAGCTGAGTCCACGGGGGCTGATGGTTCCCAAAGCAGAGATGGTTTTGGGAGTGCTGCCTTCAGGCTGCGTGGCCAGTAAGGCTGCAGAGGGGCAAAGCTTAAACCAGTCAGTCCTACGCAACTGGTTATCTGGGGCAACAGGGTGCAAACACTTCTGGGGCTCCATGCTCCGCCATGATCTTGCCTTTGGGGCATTGTGTCAGTTTGGACACATCTTGGACTATCACAAGGAATTGACCTTTCTGCACTGCTGACACTCTGATACTCATCAGGAAGAGAAAGGAGTGATTAGGGAATATTCATGAAGCTTTTTGTTATGGCCCTGCAGTACAAAGGGCCTCAGATTCTCGTTCCCAAATGCACTAACCATTTCAGATAAAGAGCAGTCCTGTGCTGCGCTGCCGGGTTCAGGAGACACGACAGGCCGTGTGAACCTAAGTGGGGAGGACAACACATCTCCCAGTCAGCTTGTGGCACGGAGGGGAAAGAGAATTTGACACTGAGATACTTAAACGACAGCCTTGGAAGAGGATGGATGGATGTGGATGGAAAGGGCCTCAGATTCTCGTTCCCAAATGCACTAACCATTTCAGATAAAGAGCAGTCCTGTGCTGCGCTGCCGGGTTCAGGAGACACGACAGGCCGTGTGAACCTAAGTGGGGAGGACAACACATCTCCCAGTCAGCTTGTGGCACGGAGGGGAAAGAGAATTTGACACTGAGCTTGGAAGAGGATGGATGGATGGATGGATGGATGGATGGATGGATGGATGGATAAATGGACAGACAGAAAGATGGATGAACAGTCAGATGGAAAGATAAGTGGATTTTATATTTTGCAAAGTCTTAATGGCATGAATAGTTCCACTTAGGCTCGTAGATCCCACCAGACAATGCATAGCCCATTAAAAGGGGTCATGTTCCACGTCCTTCATGCATGCGAAGTGATGACCAGGTCATCTGGCAGGTTGCAAACTGCCCCTACATTTGCCTAGCAGCTCCCGTGCCCACCAATCAGCCCTAGTGAGCACTGCCACTGCCCCTAGTCCCCAGAGTTAAGGTTATGCCTGAGATGCACTCAGGTATTAAATATGATGTGACAGCTGCCAGCCAGCAGCATCCCACCTTGAGCAAAGGACCGTTTGG